GGAATGAGGGATTTGGGGATTTGGGATTTGGGGATTTGAGGATTTGGGGATTCGGGGATTTGAGGATTTGGGGATTTAGAAATTTGGGAATTTGGAAATTTGGGAATTTGGAAATATGGGAATTTGGAAGATTTAGAATTTGGAAGATTTGGAATTTGGAAGATTTGGAAATTTGGAAGATTTGGAATTTGGAAGATTTGGAATTTGGAAGATTTGGAATTCGGAAAATTTGGAATTCGGAAGATTTGGAATTTGGAAGATTTGGAATTTGGAAGATTTGGAATTTTTAAGATTTGGAATTTGGAAGATTTGGAATTTGGAAGATTCGGAATTTGGAAGATTCGGAATTTGGAAGATTTGGAATTTGGAAGATTTGGAATTTGAAAAATTTGGAATTTGAAAAATTTGGAAATTGGAAAATTTGGAATTTGGAAATTTGGAAATTTTGCAAATTGGGAGTTTTTAAATTTCTAAATTTAGAAGATGTGAAATTTGAGAACTTGCAAACCTTGAAAACTTAACGAATAAAAACTTTGAAGTGAATCAGTATTCCAAATCTTACAAAACCTCAACTTTTCAACAAAAAAAAAAATATTGAACCTAAAAAAAAAATTACAAAATCTGTAAGGTAGGTAAGAGAATCTCCAAAGCCGTGAAACTATTTTTAATCCATCGCACCGGGTGCAAACTCATCGAACCCCGAGCAAATTGAAAGTTCAACCGCGAATATTGACAGAGAAATTAATTAAGAAGGCTGGTTGGTCAATATCCGAACGATCTTCGATATTTAAACTTCCGAGTCTCGATGTTGAAAGTTTGAAAGAACGGTTTCAGCTTTCCTGGTCGGACGATTATTCCTGGCAGAATTAGCCGCTCGAAAATGTGTTAACGGCGATAGTTTGAACGACCATTCGCATGATCATTCCTTTACAGCGAAACTTCTCTACTTTCGTCGGGATTACGACGTGAACGAGGATCTCGCGAGATCTTCCGAGTAAAAATGTGCGGAAGAAGAGGGGTCAAGTGCCATTAAGTTCTTGCAAGCTCGGCAGGAATTTCATTTCTTGGCAAGAAAACATTTATTGCCAATAAAGTGAAACGGAACAATGCTTTTATTGACTGTCTTGGGTCCAAGCCACATTCAAAACGACTTCGTTAAAATCCTAACTAGTTGCATAATTTCATTCTTTTGAAATTACTACTTCTTTCTTTGAATTCGGTTATATCGCTTTATTATCTCAATTTTATTTTATTTATGTCGCTAGTGGAAGATTGGGAATTGGGGAATTAGGAATTGGGAAATTAGGAATTGAGGAATTAGGAGTTGGGGAATTAGGAATCGGTGAATTAGGTATCGGGGAATTAGGAATCGGTGAATTAGGAATCGAGGAATTAGTAATTGGGGAATTAGGAATCGGGGAATTAGGTATCGGTGAATTAGAAATCGGTGAATTAGGAATCGGGGAATTAGGTATCGGGGAATTAGGTATCGGGGAATTGGTAATCGGGGAATTAGGAATCGGTGAATTAGGTATCGGTGAATTAGGAATCGGTGAATTAGGAATCGGGGAATTAGGTATCGGGGAATTAGGTATCGGGGAATTAGGTATCGGGGAATTAGGTATCGGGGAATTAGGTATCGGGGAATTAGGTATCGGGGAATTAGGTATCGGGGAATTAGGTATCGGGGAATTAGGTATCGGGGAATTAGGTATCGGGGAATTAGGTATCGGGGAATTAGGTATCGGGGAATTAGGTATCGGGGAATTAGGTATCGGGGAATTAGGTATCGGGGAATTAGGTATCGGTGGATTAGGAATCGGTGAATTAGGTATCGGTGAATTAGGAATCGGTGAATTAGGAATCGGTGAATTAAGAATCGGGGAATTAGTAATCGGGGAATTAGGTATCGGGGAATTAGGTATCGGTGGATTAGGAATCGGTGAATTAGGTATCGGTGAATTAGGAATCGGTGAACTAGGAATTGGGGAATTAGTAATCAGGGAATTAGGTATCGTGAAATTAGGAATCGGGAAATCATAAATTGCGAAAATAAAAATCAAAAAATTTCACAAACCCCCTAAAACCTTAACCCCTCACCATTCCTCTTCTTCCCCCAAATTTCCACCATTAATCCCTCATATCCCCCAATAAATCTCCAGTCGCAAAAATCATAGCCTTATAAAGAATCAAGAAAGTTCCGATATGAAATAATTTCATATACTATCGAAAAATGGGAACAGACGCGATTAAAGGCAGATAACAATCGAAGTTTATCGCTGGAGAGGTCTGGCGGCGAGGAAGCATAGTGGAAACGACGAAAGCCATTCTGCAGAGAGGATTAAAGCTTCGCCGGATGAGACGTTCCCCTTTTATTATCTTCTTGAAGAATCGTAGCCCTTCTGTTCCGTGGTGTTGGGTGTCGAGCCACACTTGACACACCGAATCGAACCGGGATTCCGCGAAATTCAAGGCGTAAAAATTGCCAGACAGTTTCGTGCACTTTCGTGGCGCGCCGAAACCGTGGCGTTTGTCTTCGGTGTCAGAAATTTCGAAGACGACGCGAGACGTTTATGAAGTTTCCTTGCAATCGCAAACTTTGATAAGTTTGCACATACGCGACGCCCGGACAAACTTCTTGGATCGCTCGGTGAAACCATTCGCAAACTTTCTGGTTGTCTTGCATCCATTTCTTTTTACTTGCTAAAATTTTGTTTTGTATATTCAGTGTTCTGCGGGGCACGAATAAAACTTTTATGTTACCTCCATTTTCTTTATTGCTTTTCACTTTTTAGGAGTGTTAAACAATAAAAGAAATGTAGGCTAAGAAACATGTGACTAGATGTTTTACTGTTTGGGTCAATAATTATTGTTTGGGTTTAGGAAGGTTAGGTTATGTCTGCATGGGTTGAAGATAGGTTAAGTTCATTTTCTTTATTGCTTTTCACTTTTTAGCAATGTTAAACAATAAAAAAAATGTAGACTAAAAAACATGTGACTAGATGCTTTATTGCTTGGGTCCATAATTATTGTTTAGATTTAGTGAGGTTAGGTTAAGTCTGCATGGGTTGAAGGTAGATTAAGTTCATTTTGTGAAATGTAGGCTAAGGAACATGTGACTAAATGTTTTATTGTTTGAGTCAATAATTATTGTTTGGATTTAGTAAGGTTAGGTTAAGTCTGTATAGGTTGGACATAGGTTAAGTTCAGTTAGAGTTGCATTGGGTTTAGGTCAGGTTCTTGCTAACTATTAATAGACATTACCATATCATTTTCTAAATGTTTAAGTCTGAAACTTGCAAACTTGGTGTATCTAGGCAAATATCCAGGCAAGTGTCCAGTTGAGTGACCAGGCAAGTTGCCAGTCAAGTGTCCATTAAGTGACTAGGCAAGTGTCCAGAAAAGTAGCTAGAAGTGCGAAAAAGTTCTGACAGACTTCCTTGTTCCTAACTACTTGTCTGACCACTTGTCTGGCTGCTAGCCTAATCCAAACGCATCTTAACACATTAAACGCCCAGTAGAAACACCTAAGCCACATCTAATAAGACACTAGACAAAAATTATTTCAGATAACTTCTCAACACGATGCTATGTCATTAATATAACCTTGACAGTACTTACAATGTAGTGATTATATATTGTAATAATTTTGCTGCTGTTAAGAGATTATTCTTAAGAGCAAACAATTAAGTGTCAATATATTTGATAATGTTTATTGAACAATATAATCTATCAGTGGATATGGAACAATTTTGGAGATTGGAACGGTAAGAGGATTCGACTGGTCCACAATGTTAAGAGAAGAACAGAGGAGGTAGAATCCGCACAAAGCACAGCTCTAAACTGACCTAAGCTGGCGGAGACTCGTTACGCGTGATTTCGATCAAGTCGTTCGTATCTCCGCCCTCGCAAGTCATAGTCTTGACAGGGTCGGTAATTGCTGTTCCGTGACGAGCACGATGGAAGAGCTGCGTGACAAAGCGGGCGAACGAGGGCTGGGAAGAAACAAGGCTGCGGGCAATTTGAATCGTCCGCCTTGTTAGCGGCGATAGACAGAAAGAGGAATGGCTGCCGGTTCTTGGATCCAACTTTACCACCGTGTACACATAGAGAAAGAGAAAGCAAAGTCTGTCCGTTTAAGAAGCGGTAAAAATGACACGGAAGAGCCACGTGAAATGGCGGAGACACGGTGGACTCTGGGAAAGAAGAAAATGGAGAGAGCGTGAAATTCAAACGGATTTGTGACAAGTGGCCGCTAACGACGTGTACACTGACAACGGGATCAGAACGCGTAGAAAATAGGGCCGGAAACATGATCGAGCACTTGCTATTGACCATTGAGGATGCGTCAAGTTGGTCATCGGTAATCTGATCAACAACGTCACTCGGAGTGTTGGTTTACATGTCGAGTACGGTGTAGGTTAACCGTTCGATGCACGATTTTACCATCCAATTATTTCGGGAATTTTCGGCTTTTGAAGGTTGGGACATCGAAACTCTTCAAGTTTCTTCGGAGATCTTGTAGCTTGGGACTTTGGAATTTTTCAAGTTTGGCAGGACCTTGAAACGTTTGAAGTTTCGAGCTTTGAAGTTCTTGTGGGACTCTGAAGTTTTTGAAATTTTGCAAGATTGGAATTTTAGGACTCTGGGTGTTGGTAGTTTTTCAATTTCTCTACCACATATACACAATAATATCTGAACACGATATGTTTTAATTGTTCTATGTATACATATACATATGTATTTGCAGCTCAGTATTTTTCATGGTACATTTCAATTTCCCAGTCACATAGTTGACACAGTACATTTTAACTGCACAACCCTGTAGTTGACACAGTCCATTTTAATTGTACCATCATAAGTTGACACAGTACATTTGTACCCTGTACACGGTATTTTAATTTTCCCTAAACACAATACAGTCACAAGTAGCCATATCTGACACAGTTTCTAGTTTAACTGAACAATTACACAGTTGACACAGAAATTTTATACAACACATCCTTAGAAGCCATTTGCCAAAGAACGTGTTAAACGCGAAATCAGTGGTTAGCGAGAGTTTCGGTTGATTTAACGCGACACTCAAAGTGTTAATACTGTTAATAATTCATAGTATCGTGTAGAGTACCGGTCATGGCTACTTGTACCGTGCCAGTCAACGTGCTAACGATGCCTGTGACTAACGTGTTCTCTCTATCGGCACCGTTAATTCGTCATTTCTCGCACGTCGAGTGATTCACGGTTCTCCAATGTAGTAACGAGAAGAACCGGTCGTCAACGTGATACAAACCAGCCATTATGCTAGTCCACTTGGTCGCTCTCGTTTTCAACCACCACAGTGATTCGTTGTTCTCTAGCGGGAATATCTTTCGGGCTCAAGGCTCGAGGTGTTGGCACGTCGACTGCACAGTTATGCGAAATATCAACGAGCGTGAAGAATGAATTACGTGGGTAATAATTGGGTCGGAGGCCGTTACGGACCGGGGAATTGAAACAAATGATTATTGGATGACTAATCGTTTTAATGGAACACGCTCTACAGCGTGGATGCATAGAAATTTGTAAATACGTGGAAATCTACAGATTTGATTGCTTCAAAAATTTAAACACTCGGAAGTACAAACATATGAGATCTGAATAATAAAAAAATTGAGAAGGTAGCAAATTTGGAAGAGGAAGTGTGAGCAAGATTTGAAAATGTGAAACTCTGTGGGAGAGTAGATTCCATCTCGTGGGCGCTCGCTAAACAAAATGGCGGCGTAGTAACATCCCACTTGTCGCGCTTCGAATCAAAACTTGCGGACCTTCTCAAAATCCAAATTCCACGTTTCAGACTACAACATGTGACCCTTCTACCAATATTAAAATTAGAATATTAAAATTAATTTAATATTCTACTAATATTAAAATTAATGTAATATTCTACCAATATCAAAATTACTGTAATATTAAATTACCGATAATACAATTTCCCAGCACAAAGTGTGAAAATTTAGTGCATGGGTAAAACGTCCCTAATCGAAATTTCGACGGACCCGCTGAAAACGTTTCCTCCATCGAACTCCAGCTCTTCGGACGCTTTAGAAGCGTCTGATGGTACTCAAACCTTTATTTAAATGGCTCGCAAGAGGCGCGTTAAGTCGTTGCTGAAGTGCAACGCTATCGCGGCGTGTCCTTGATGAGCCTGTTATTGGAATTCATGGCGAGTGACACAAAAGAGAAGAGAAATAAAAAGAAAAAACCGTAACGATGAATGCGAGGCTTGTGTGCATTGTGGAGAAGAGTCGGTATGCACGAGACCACAATATGTGCCACCTCTCTGGTATAACCCGAGAACTTCGCAATAGAATTGCCTCGTGTTACGTGTACATACGCTTCACTGTTTCTCAAATTGCTTTCCCAAGCTTGTTTTTCCTTTAACACGTTCTCGTCACTTTGATCGTTCGGTTTTTTTTTGCGTTACCGTTATGCTTGATGCTTTTGTCGCGTTTTGTGTGTTGATGTTGTGTAATTAGGGATTTGGATGGGTTTTAGGGTGGGTTTTAGGAGAGGGTGCGTTTGGCTGAGGTTTAGTTGACGTTCAAGAATTTTGGACTTGTATTTTTTTTTATAATTAATTTGTAGGTTTCAAGAAGTTTGAATGTTCAAGTTGATGGTTCAGAATTTTTATTATAATTTATAATCATGAAATGATTGATGTATTAACTTCAAAATTTAACTTCTGTGATACATTCAAGATTTACCGCAAACGTCTGAAATTGAATCTAAAAATGATGTCACAGCACTTAATTGTATGAAAGCTGATCGTATTCACGAATAGCGAATAATTGATAAGGAGTACGTAATACAT